TGGATGGAGAACCAGAATTCCAAAATGACTTCCAGTAAATCACATGGGAGAGAGACATGAGAGAGAGACATGAGAGAGAGACATGAGAGAGAGACATGAGAGAGAGACATGAGAGAGAGACATGAGAGAGAGACATGAGAGAGAGACATGAGAGAGAGACATGAGAGAGACATGAGAGAGACATGAGAGAGAGACATGACTTCCAGTAAATCACTAATGGAACAGTGTCCACTTGTTGTTTTTTACATTCCACAGATGAAGCATGTTTGCCCTAAATGGTTCACTAAAAGTGAACTCTGGTTCTTGGGACTGAAGTGTGAACACATTAATTACCACAGTGTTAAAACTGACAATCTCTCTGCTTTATTCAATCTCCCAAAACACGCACCATGGGTGTAATCCTTCAGCCATGTCATGAAATATTGTATCCATCTTTAATTTCAGTTAGTTAACTGTATAATTAGATTTAAGACCACTGTCGCTGCAGAACTTTTGTGATTTTGAGACTTTGAATGGAAAAGAAAGTCCTAACACCAAATGAAATCGTGTTGGATTTTTATCAACAGCAATAAAAGATTATACTAAAACTGACATCACGCTGAAACACATACAATTGTACATTAAACCATGAGGTTTCCGGACCTTTAATTGTATTTCCATTCCAAACCAAACCATAAAACTAGAAAAAAATTAGATTTTTATTAATTTCACAATCAGTTTAAAATATGTACCCCGAACCACTAATATGTTTTAGTTTTTCCTCTTTTGATGAGGTTACAACAAACTTGAAAACCCGCGGTTGTTTGAAATATTAATCAGTGCGTTATGTCTTGAAGGAACTCAATTTGGATTTGTTGTATTTTAATTTCATAAAAAGATTTTTATGGGATTGCAGCAGAAATGAGAAGGTCTCTGTTAAATTGGCAGACGTTTTGCTTTTTAGAATTTAATTATCTTTTTTATACTATACTTAATTTTCTCTGTATTTATAATAATATGCATTTTATATTTTGTGCATATATTAATTTGCACTACTTCTTTACAATCAAGGGGAAAAATACAAAACGATTCAATGTGGCTTTAATTTACCAGGAATTTCTTCAGTTTCCCAGTTTGGGGATTGTGCCAGCGATTTGAGGTATGGCACCAGATCCTTGTCTTTGGGGAATTTGGGAAGGGACCAGAGGGCAGTCAAAAGTCAGGCAGATTTAGGATTAAGAATCAAATATAACCCAGAGATAGTCAGATCTAGCACTGAGCTCTGACAAAGGTGGAATTATGTCAAATCTCTCTACAAAATTATGAAATATGTCAGTGGGATATTGCAGTGGACAGATGTAAATTACTTTTATTATTGTTATTGACTGGAAAAGATGCAGAACATATTGCCATCAACCTGTGACTGATAAAAGACTATTTATTACAATGTGAATAAGTTGCATTGATAAAAGACTAATAAAGGGATTTGTGAATAAGTTGCATTGATTGTTTTTGTTTGCTGTCAATACTTTTTCAGTTATGTTTCAGACTATTCTTCCAGTAAGATAAGATGTGGAGAAAAGTCTACATTCTCCCAATCTGTCAGACCAGAGCAGAGAGCATATAAGAGAAAGAGACACATCACACTGTCACGAGGTGCCTCAGATGAAACATGTCTGGTAACTAAGCAGTTCCTTTATAGGCTAAAACAAACATCATTATAAGTAAATGAAAAGCCTCTTTGAGTTATTAATTGGCATGTGCAATGTGTTTTTACAGGAGAGCTTTTATGTCTCAAAAATATCTTTGTAAAACATGCTTAGACCTCGTATGACAGTTAATACTTCATTCACAATATATCGCTGGATTACTTGTGTCTTTTAAGGAAGAAGACATTAGTTTTAGGTGCTCTGTGAAAAAGCCATAGGAGAATTTGATAAATAGTGCTGCCAACAAGAATTCAAAACCTCCACTACAAAATGATCAAATAAATAATTGCAAGATTTGTAGAGCTTGGAAGAGATGTTAATTCTTTTTTCCCACGAACCGCAATCCAATTCCATCTGTTGTTAACAGTGTGGTAAGACCACCTAAATTGCCAGGAATGCACCTAATCTGTGCCTTCAAAATTGCTTAATTCAATTTCTAATATAATCATAAACATCACACTTCTCAAAGGTTTTTTCTGATTTATATGTTTCTGCTGCACCTGACGTATCATACACACACAACTGTTGAGCGATTTATGATGTCCTAACTGCCTTTACAAGTAGCCACTATTTACTGGCTTTGCGTGCCTTTAGCATCTATCCTGCTTCGTCATTCTCTTTAGTGCTTCCAAGAGTACTGCCTTGAATATACACTAAGAAGGCGTATGGATAAAGGCGGATAAAGTCTACAGATACTTGCCTTTCTGAGTGATCAATACTTAAACTAGAATGATGATGTCCATAGACGGTTCTTATTAACATCTATGTTATTTCTTTTTTATATGATAATGTTTCTTGTTTAACCTAAATTATCCATCCATCCATCTTTTTCCTTTCCGCATAATCTTTTGCCAAGTTGCGGGTGCAGCAATCTAAGGAGAGATACTTAGACTTCCCTGTCCACACACACCCCCTACTCCCTGGGGGAATCCTGAGTCTTTCCCTGGCCAGCTGAGAGACATAGTCCCTAAATGTCCTGGTTCTTCCTGGGGTCCCATAGTGGGTCATGCCCAGAATATAATAACAAAAATTAAGATTTGCCATTCCTTCAATAGTTCTAACTTGTTGTTTTCTCTACTTCAAAGGTGTTTGGTTGTCTCATAGCAGAATCCTCCTGGAGGTTAAAGCAGACGTAATCCCAAATGATAAACCCACAGGAAATGCGGTGTCTGAAGTGTGTTTACTGTGTTTACTACTGTCATCTCGATATCATCTGCACTCCAGAAATAATTCTACATGTTCTTTCAATCACAGAGAGTTTTGGCAAAGCCAATGACAGAATAATAATAATAACTTAAATAATTATTTTTTTAATGACTTCTGCAAATTGTTCGTTGTCGCTGTCTTTAATCAAGACTCAGATTGACAATTGTCTGTTCCGCCCAATTGTCTCGGCCGTCTTTGCCTCCACTGATCAAAGACCAGAGGAAACACATAATTATGACTATTGGGCGCAGTGCTAGATTAAAATCTCTTGGATTCTAGAAATTACATTTTTCTTGCATACAAAAGGCATGCATCAGTCTGAATGGACTAAATGGACATTGTTGCTTATAGGAACATTTCACACATCACAAGGGGCCATGTGCATATACCCAATACATGAGACTGTAATGGCTCTCCTTCATCTCAGTGGCATGAACCATAACAGAAAAAGTGTCACAGTGTGTGTGTGTGTGTGTGTGTGTGTATGTTTTTAAAGCTTTTCAATGGGGACTGTGTTGGTTGGGAACCATGCGGCCTTCTTCTCCAGTGAAAACCATCAGTACCCATATTATCACAGATAATATGGGGCTTGTGTATGACAGCTTCAACTTCTTCGGTGGTTTGCCGAAGAACATCTGTCAATTTTCCCATTGAACTTACTTTAACCATGTCAGCCTGTTGCACGTGGAACATTTTCTTGCACACTATGAACTAATGGTCAAAGTTGGGCACTATTGAGAACACTATTTAATAATGATAATAATACTGTTATAACAAAGGCATTCATGCCTGAGTGTGTAAACTTTCAATCACAACTGTAATGAAAAACATATTTAATTCAATCACTGATGTTTTACTGAGTTGCTGTGATAAATGTCTTTTGTGACATACCTGAAAAAAATGTCACTCTTAGAAAACATTTTTTCTGTAATTGGTTGACAATGGAGAATTGAAAGACTCTCTTAAAGATTCAAGTTAAGCTTAAGGCAAAAACACTCAACAAAGCACTCGCGTTGAGTCACTCAAAAGAGGTTTTCCATCTGTTGATTGTCATGAAGTAAATTGTGTATGACAATTGTCGACACATGATCCTGCCTGGTTCGTTTAAGAAGTTTCTTCTCAAAATATATAATTGATGTTTTTGACACTGACACTAAACTAAATATCGCTTTAAGCTGTGGAGCAAATGATTAATGTTCCCAAATCAAACACTGCAGCCGAATGGGAGGTAACAGTCTTCATTATGTAATAGCTTCATGTGTGGATTTATTTGAAACAATTAGCCATGGATGGTATAGAGTTACAAAGAAAGAAAGGCATGCATACATACACACACACACGCACACACGCACGCATGCACACAAACACACACACACACACAGACACACAGACTCACTGAGTTGCCTTCTGTGCAGCGCAAAAAAGTGATACATTCTTGTTTGACATGCAGTGAGGAACAAATTGTTCTTCTTCAGTACAAAAAATGTTAATCAGATTAACACACTGACTTTTACCTGGCATTCTATTTTGAAAGCAATAATGTAGTACTGTAAAAGACAAGATTCAAGAGTGGGGAAAATTCAATGTCATCGATACACACACTTCAAGAAACTGCACACTATAAGAGCACTCAAATTGCATCAAATAAAATGAAATATTTCTTCTCTTTATTTGCATAACCAGATTCTGAATGTCATCCATCACTAAAGACAGACACAACTGGCTGCTGTGCAGAGGCTATCGGGGGCAGTGTCGAACATAAGGAGTGTGTGGGGGGCGTGGACTTGTTGCTTCCCCCAAAATCCTCAACCTTACCTCCCCTTAGTCCAAACAGTTTGAGTTTGAACTAGCATCTCATAATCTCTCCTCCCTGGAGATATTTAGCTAGTTATATTCTTTGCCGTAGAATTTATATCAAATCAAAAAGATTCTGTGCGACCATTTAAAACTGGAATCGGGGACGTTTCGACTTTTTTTTCTTGAGGAATTGAGGAGATGAGTCACAATCGGACTTACAAGTCAATGGATTCTTGCATAATTCCTGTAGGGGACTAAATCAGGAAAACAATGGGATTACTTTTTAGCATCACAAGGATTCCTTCAAAGATGATTCTCAAGATACTGGGCTTTCTTATTTTACAAGGTAAATTGATAATTATGAGACAAGACATCAAGACATTTCTATAATTGTTCTAACTTGTTGTTTTCTCTGCTTCAAAGGTGTTTGGTTGTCTCATAGCAGAATCATCCTGGCAGTTAAAGCAGACATAATCCCAAATAATAAACCCATTGAAAATGCGATGTCTGAAGAGAGGTTCCAGATAACGGACGCAAAAACAAGAACCAAGCGTTGTACCTGCTACTCTTACATGGACCGTGAATGTGTTTACTACTGTCATCTCGATATCATCTGGGTCAACACTCCAGAGTAAGTTCTACATGTTCCTTCAGGGCTTCTGCTTTCTAATCTATGTCAGTTGTCAACAGATATTAGATCACGTTTTTGACAAAGCCACACAGGCATTTTAGATTGAGCAAATTAAGTGGTGGGATTTTTGAGATAAATAGACACCGTCACGCCCAGGAATAATATCCCTGAGGTGCGGCACACTGACAGACATCAGGTAACAGCAGGCCCAGTGCAAAAAGACTTAACCTGTGGGATCAAAGGGGAACGACTGGAGAGAAGGGGGCAGACATGCAGGGTCTAGGACTGGAAGAAAAGGTCTGTGACAGAAGAGAGGATTTGTGACAGGAGAAAGACCGGAGGAGAGTTTGTGACACGAGAGATGGTCTGAGACAGAAGAGAAATGAGAGAGGATTGGAGGTATGAGAGAGAGACAGGAGAGATGTGAGAGAGAGACATGAGAGAGAGACATGAGAGAGAGACATGAGAGAGAGACATGAGAGAGAGACATAAGAGAGAGACATGGGAGAGAGACATGAGAGAGAGACATGGGAGAGAGACATGAGAGAGAGACATGAGAGAGAGACATGGGAGAGAGACATGAGAGAGAGACATGGGAGAGAGACATGAGAGAGAGACATGAGAGAGAGACATGAGAGAGAGACATGAGAGAGACATGAGAGAGGGACATGAGAGAGGGACATGAGAGAGAGACATGAGAGAGAGACATGGGAGAGAGACATGAGAGAGAGACATGGGAGAGAGACATGAGAGAGAGACATGAGAAAGAGACATGAGAGAGAGAGACATGAGAGAGAGACATGAGAGAGACATGAGAGAGGGACATGAGAGAGAGACATGAGAGAGAGACATGAGAGAGAGAGATGAGAGAGAGACATGGGAGAGAGACATGAGAGAGAGACATGAGAGAGAGACATGAGAGAGACATGAGAGAGGGACATGAGAGAGAGACATGAGAGAGAGACATGGGAGAGAGACATGAGAGAGAGACATGAGAGAGAGACATGGGAGAGAGACATGAGAGAGAGACATGGGAGAGAGACATGAGAGAGAGACATGAGAGAGAGACATGAGAGAGAGACATGAGAGAGACATGAGAGAGGGACATGAGAGAGGGACATGAGAGAGAGACATGAGAGAGAGACATGGGAGAGAGACATGAGAGAGAGACATGGGAGAGAGACATGAGAGAGAGACATGAGAAAGAGACATGAGAGAGAGAGACATGAGAGAGAGACATGAGAGAGACATGAGAGAGGGACATGAGAGAGAGACATGAGAGAGAGACATGAGAGAGAGAGATGAGAGAGAGACATGGGAGAGGGACATGAGAGAGAGACATGAGAGAGAGACATGAGAGAGAGACATGAGAGAGAGAGATGAGAGAGAGACATGGGAGAGAGACATGAGAGAGAGACATGAGAGAGAGACATGAGAGAGACATGAGAGAGGGACATGAGAGAGATACATGAGAGAGAGACATGAGAGAGAGACATGAGAGAGGGACATGAGAGAGGGACATGAGAGAGAGACATGAGAGAGAGACATGAGAGAGACATGAGAGAGGGACATGAGAGAGAGACATGAGAGAGAGACATGAGAGAGAGACATGAGAGAGGGACATGAGAGAGAGACATGAGAGAGAGACATGAGAGAGAGACATGGGAGAGAGACATGAGGGACAGGCATGAGAGAGAGACATGAGAGAGACATGAGAGAGGGACATGAGAGAGAGACAAGAGAGAGAGAGACATGAGAGAGAGACATGAGAGAGGGACATGAGAGAGAGACTTGAGAAAGAGACATGAGAGAGAGACATGAGAGAGAGAGACATGAGAGAGAGAGACATGAGAGAGGACATGAGAGAGAGACATGAGAGAGAGACATGAGAGAGAGACATGAGAGAGAGACATGAGAGAGAGACATGAGAGAGAGACATGAGAGAGAGACATGAGAGAGAGAGACATGAGAGAGAGACATGAGAGAGAGACATGAGAGAGGGACATGAGAGAGAGACATGAGAGAGAGACATGAGAGAGAGACATGAGAGAGAGACATGGAGAGAGAGACATGAGAGAGAGACATGAGAGAGAGACATGAGAGAGAGACATGAGAGAGACATGAGAGAGAGACATGAGAGAGAGACATGAGAGAGAGAGAGACATGAGGGAGAGAGACATGAGAGAGAGACATGAGAGAGAGACATGGGAGAGAGACATGAGAGAGAGACATGGGAGAGAGACATGAGAGAGAGAATGAGAGAGAGAGACATGAGAGAGACATGAGAGACATGAGAGAGGGACATGAGAGAGGGACATGAGAGAGGACATGAGAGAGAGACATGAGAGAGAGACATGAGAGAGAGACATGAGAGAGAGACATGAGAGAGAGACATGAGAGAGAGACATGAGAGAGAGAGACATGAGAGAGAGACATGAGAGAGAGACATGAGAGAGAGACATGAGAGAGAGACATGAGAGAGAGACATGAGAGAGAGACATGAGAGAGAGACATGAGAGAGAGAGATGAGAGAGAGACATGGAGAGGGACATGAGAGAGAGACATGAGAGAGAGACATGAGAGAGAGACATGGGAGATGAGAGACATGAGAGAGAGACATGGGAGAGAGACATGAGAGAGAGACATGAGAGAGAGACATGAGAGAGACATGAGAGGAAGAGGGACATGAGAGAGAGACATGAGAGAGAGACATGAGAGAGAGACATGAGAGAGAGACATGAGAGAGGGACATGAGAGAGGGACATGAGAGAGAGACATGAGAGAGAGACATGAGAGAGACATGAGAGAGGGACATGAGAGAGAGACATGAGAGAGAGACATGAGAGAGAGACATGAGAGAGGGACATGAGAGAGAGACATGAGAGAGAGACATGAGAGAGAGACATGAGAGAGAGACATGGGAGAGAGACATGAGGGACAGGCATGAGAGAGAGACATGAGAGAGACATGAGAGAGGGACATGAGAGAGAGACATGAGAGAGAGAGACATGAGAGAGAGACATGAGAGAGGGACATGAGAGAGAGACTTGAGAAAGAGACATGAGAGAGAGACATGAGAGAGAGAGACATGAGAGAGAGAGACATGAGAGAGGGACATGAGAGAGAGACATGAGAGAGAGACATGAGAGAGAGACATGAGAGAGAGACCGTAAAAATGTGTAAATGTGCTTTATAAATAATAACAATAATAATAAAACATCTGACAATGACACGAAGGAGGGTCTGACACATAAAACGATTTAATATCAATGAATACAGGGTGAAACTCATGAATAAGAATATTGTTCAAAAGTCCTTTTACTTTAGTATAATGTGAAACTACCACTACTAGATTATTCATGACTCATTATATGTGAATTTAGATACTGTATATCAAGACTGTATTTGTTCTAATTTTGATTCAGTAAACATTGATTCATAAAGCATCTCAGAAAATGATAATATTTTGAGATGGACATTCAGCCATAATCATTCAAATTCTCACCAACAAAGGCTTGACATTTGTCACTTTGCATGTAATGAGTCTTATACTTGTTTCAAATGTTCAGTTGTCATACTTCAAACAATATTCTAATTGTTATTATTTACTCTTGGTTATTTACTCTTGCACTGTGGTTAATAAGTATACTTTGAAAACATCTCTCTATAAATGTATATATAGACAGTAAAACATGTATAGCACTCAAATGAATATGTTTTTTATCATCAACACAACAGAGCATGTTTTGACAGATTCAAGTTGCTTTGTGAACATGAACATCATATGGTAGCACACTAATGAAATAACAGTATTTTTTTATGGTCTTAGGTGTGAATTTACCAATTTAATGGTTTTGGCTCAGTGTGATAATGAACCCTTTATAGTATAAATAATAAAAATAGTATGTCTAGTGGCATATTTGCGGTGCACACCCAATTCTTAATATGTCTGAATTGAACTCCCTTTTGGTAGACAGCTTTCAAAAACATTTGCAGACACCTTTTTGGTTTGATTGATATGCTTTGGCACTTTTAACCGCATATTACAATCATTGGCAAGGCCACACTGTTACATAGTTTCTGTTTTCTTATGCCAAAACTGCTGCGAGCTGTTGTAGGTAAATGGCACAACTTATAATGGCAAGTTTAGACATTTTTTTGTAGACTTATGAGAGTAGACATTTTCCACAATGCATTCTACAAAGGAAGTAGATGAAGTTTGAAATGTAATCAGAAAAGTTGGTGAATGTGATTGGGTACCGCATGGGGCCAACATTGCTGAACCTCTTACTGCGGTCCAGACTGTCTCTGCAAGTTCACTCAATGTACTGAATTTGGTTGAATTACACATTCCTTGACAATGTCCAAATGAGTGGAAATGACAATCAATGCAATGTACATGACTCTACAGCATGGGATCCTCTGTCCAAGTGTGTTTAAAGGTGTTTGAACCATTAATGCAGAGTTCATCACAGAGCTGCTGTAAAACTGAAAATACTATTCATTTGTATTGTGCATAGGCCAAACTACTGCTCCATATTTCTTATTCAACTTTCTTATTTCAAGGCATGCATAAAACGTGTTAAAACATCCCAAGACACAAGTAAATTCCAAAACATTCTGATGTAATATAAGAATCCCTGACATAGACCAACACTAAAGTTTTTTACACATTGGTCCCTGTATCAAGCACATTGTTCTCCATCCGTCAACTTGATGAAAAATCAAACAGGGATTTTCAGTCCTTGAGTATCATACAATAAATTAATACATCCTTCAATCAATAAATCAATCAAAGTGGTTATTGTTCATTCACAGTATTTTTGGTAGTTTGCTGCGCCACTCTGTACAATTTGCTGGAGATCCTAATTAATCAGAGGGCCATACACGTACCTCTGGTTTCACCCAATCAGCGCATGATGGAATATTAATCCAAATGATAGAGACTCGCTTTTAAAATGCAAGGAGCATCTACAGGGTCAATGTTCTGATGAAATACACTTCTGCACCACAGTACGCAACTTTCTGCAGGTGTCATTTCATCTATGATTCCGTGAAATACCAGAGAAGGATGTTGTTATTGTGTCATCAGTTTATAGAAGTTATGGGATATACTTTTCTGTGAATTAGATCGTGGCGGCCCCTCCTCTAGGACAAGTACGAGTCATGTTTGCTGGGACAGTAAAGAACTTTTTATAGTTCTGTCAGTGCCATGAAAATCTAAATGATTTGAATCAGTACATTTTTAATCATGCTACATTATTTTCAAGTATAATCTTCACACCTCAGCAACATTTGTTTGAATAACTGCAAAACATCAGCGTAAAAACTGAAAAGATCCAGCTGTCCTCGTTTGAAAGAGGTACATTTTAGAATTTGGCTACCTCGATATTACAGTTTTGTTTACATAAAAAAGGACTTAAGGCTACACACTTCCTTATTAATACCACACGCTCCACTGGTAGGAACCTCGCTGGCAGCTTGGTGTTCTTTCCATCTTGTGTTCATCTGCTGAAATCCTAACTACACACCTCCTGCTGAAATGTGTGACCTTGGACAAATATGGCACAAAAGCATATTTCTTTTCATCTGCCGGGCCCCTCATATATCTTTCTTTTCCCCCCAGACGCACAGTTCCATATGGGATGTCAAGTTACCAAGCCCCACAGCGAATTCGAAGAGAAACCGTTGAGTCTCCGCGCTGTCTCTGCGTTGTGGCGGATACTGACCAGCAGTGCCGAGGTTTCTGTCAGTCAAGGTTTGTTACACTCATATCCGAAGCCTTCTAAAGTCCACTCCGTCACATACTCCCCCGGTCTGCTGATAAACTGTAGAAATATCTTGCCAGTATTTCTATTTGTAAAAGAAAACAATCCAACTGGTTTTGACAATGCTTATAAAAAACTTTCTGTATTCGCAATGACAGCACCAAGTAAAATCAAACTTTAAATGGTGCATGTGATTTTAACCCTCATTCACTCCTTCAGGACCAGAAAGCAATGTATTTTTTTCCTTTTTGCAATTTTTTTAAAGATGTATAGGAGCACTGCCAACACAAATACTTTCTTATAATATATTTTTTTATTGGCTTTTGAGTTGGAAATGTAGTTTGATGGTAAAAGTCCCTAAAACCAAGTAATATGAAATCGTTGAGGAAACCATTAAACATGTTTTTCCTGTTATTATTTTGTAGTGATTTCATGACACTTTGAAGCAACTGTGGTTAAAGTTCTAACTCATCATTCAACAATATGTACAAGCCAGTACTTTTCCATTGTTTTGGTTAACTCAAGATTGAAGCTACAAGCACACTGTGGCAATCGCTGATTGGAGGACTCCATTCCTCCGCTGTATATTATCACTTGCAGTCTGTAACATCCTGTCTACCATGACAATAAAACATGTCTTCTGTCTGAATTAAAGACACGATCCCTGACTTTGTCATCTTCTTCAGTTTGTATGTGAGAAAGAGGTGTCAGAGAGGTGTAATTGTCAGCTGTCTTGCCATGTTGAAAGCATTTGATTTATTGTAGAACAGATAAATAGTGTTTTTTTGTATTTCAAGAAACACATTAGGCATCAACACTTCACTGTCTATATTATGTCATAAGTCTTGCTCTTGAACCCCCCATCATCCTAAACTCTCTCCTAAATACTCTCTCTCTCTTCTCTTTTCTCCTCACAGGCCGACTTCCCCATCCCAAAGAGGCCGGGGGTAAGGTGACAGCTGGTCACAGGTCACTGCAGCGCACTCTGTCAGTGGCTTTTGGCTTCACCTTTCACAAGTTTGGCATCTCACTCTCACACTCAAGGGAGCTACTTCAGGAGACATTGCCTGCATTCCTCAGCATAATCATTTCTGGAGCAAGTTCCATCAGGCCGACAGGGTTCAATAGATCTCCTCGGCAAATTGAATGCAGAACTCTGGAGGCAAGGCTTATTTTTTTTTTTTTATTATAAGGGCCTTGTACAGATTATTCTCACTTGATAAACAAGTGGATGGACATCTTGAGGACTTAATGTGAACAGCCCTTGGTAAAAAAAAGCTGGTGTATATCTTAAGGACTTAGAAAGGACTGATAATGATGTGAACACGTTTTTGGATAATTAAAGACATCGCAATTTGGACCAAAGTCTAATAAATGAATGTGTTATGCAAATGAGATTTGTTTTTATCACTATTTACCAGTTAATTTCAGATGCATTGTTTAGAGATTGATTTTAGTTTCAGCATCAAGATTCAATAGATTCAACGATTTATTCTGATTGTCAATAGCAACACTGGAGTTTTATGTTCAGACCAGAATTAAGCATTCCCCACTGTAAATTACAGTTTAAATTACTACTACTACTAAATCTTTATTTGGTTTGGGCATCCGTGTAACATACTGACATATACAAGGAGACAGTGACAACAATGTTAAGGCCACCCAAATACGTTCATTTTCAATTCATCACATACAAGGGCCACACAAGACATTAAAACAAACAACAAAATAATATTACACGCTCAACTTGAAAACAAAGACATTTTTATTCACTTTGCCGCTCTTACAATATAAGCCACAGGTTTTCATGCTGATGTCAACAAAGCTGATAGACCACTGGATGTAATGTTGTCAACGTGATCGAATGACGAGGTGCATTTCTTGCACTAATGACTTCTTATGGACAAAGCTCGGTAGATAACAACAACAACAATAATAATAATAAAAATAATTATGTTAATGATAATAAGGAGGCAAACATTACCCTAAATGTTAGCTTTCATATCAGGAGCGATTTATTTAAACATGGGTCCTAAAAGATTGTATGTAATAATAATAAGTTGTGTTGCTCTGAAAACTGTCCTAAAAACAGTTCCAACTGTTTCCCTGCATTTCCTTGCGTCGGCTCTTTGTGCTGTTCACATAAACATAAAAAAACAATAGATTAATCTGTGTTCAATTTTCTTTTTTCCTACCAGGTAATCTCTCGATATTGTGAAAGTATACAGTCAGTGAAATGACACTTCCTTTTCTGTTACTGTGGAACCAACTATTTCTTCTTTCATTGAAAACCCTCTTCTATTGGCCTCAAGCTTCAGTACACAACATAACTTCATGTATTTCGGCCTCGGATATAATCAAATCATCAAAAAATAGGACTGATCTCAGATCAAATGTTGTTTTTCAGCCTGACACTGACCAAGAATTGTGGACCGTATACTAGGAGTGGACTGCCCATGTGCCACCCATAGTCACCCATAGTGTTTGACAAATGCACAAGAAGCCAATTTGAACCATTTTGGATCTACTTTCCTCATATGGGCATTTGTTCAGATGGGATTAGCTTCATGCTTTAATAGGGGCAGATGCATTGTTACAATAGTTGCTAGGCAAGCTGGGAATGAAGGTATCTGAAGGGTCAATCTTTATAGCTCATATCTGGATTTACAATGACAATATCTCAATAAAAACATCAGGATCATAGAGCGAGCCAAAATGGTGAGTGTGACACAAACGGTCATTGACTTAGACCCGTTTTGCATGAGCTCTTCCCTTTTGGGTTTCATCAACCTCGGCCGTTAGCATTGTCCATCAACACGGTCCAAGCCAAGAATGCATATTGGACTGATTTTCATTTCTGAAAGCACGTTATATGTAAAGTTCTGTGGTTGCATTGATGGATTGGATAAAAGGACATATTTATAACGTTTATGGAAATGTGCAGTAAATATCCTCCTAATCAGACTTCCTGTAAAGTTACAGTATGTATCATATGAAACCTTGGGCATTCATCATAGTAATGCCTCTGCGGCACAACACGGCACTAAGTGGATAAGTACTCATTATTGGCATTTGGTTTGTGCAATGTGGTCGCTAAATGCTGATTGTATGTATTTCAGTTTGAGAAAATAACAGAAAATCCCCACTTTCTGCTCTTGCTGACAGATAGTGTTTACATCAGGCACTATCATAGAAGTTCAAACGGCCAAGAATGCTTTCTGAACAATAAAAAATAAAACACACACATCTTGCTTCCAACAATCTTAACTCAAGATTTGGATAAACCAAAAGAGATTAGTGTGGAGAGGGCTGTATTTTAATTGTATATTTCTCGTATTTGTTATATTTTGTTTGTAATCCCATATGTATGTTTTAATAAATTAACTGCTGTAAATTATCAACAGATTTAAATACATTTTTATATTGAAAAAGTTCTCAAAATGAATTACTCTTGCACATTATAAAGAATATATTTGGTGTTGAATAAAGTATATATCCCATGACAACAGTTCATTTTGTTATTACTGTGTATGACAGGTTCATGTGAATGTTTTTGCTCCTCAGACAAAAAGAAAAAAACAAAAGTGGTCTTATGTTGGCATTTAGGATACAGCTGAAGAGCCCGGGGCAGATGTCTGGGGAGGGGCAGGTCAACGACAGACCTCCACAACAGTCCATCCTCTTTTAGGACAGTAATGTTAACTTAAGTACTGCATTTCTGTGTTCAAACTTTGATTTATGGAGCCGGTTGTTCACATATATTTACAAAGCTGTCATTCAGTAATAAGTACGCATCATAAATTTTAGTTGAAATGTTAGGAAGTTACATCAGGCATGCAGGTTCCAGGCAATTGCCAACATGTCAACACATTACACACATTACTGTTGGGGTTGGCAACTAAGATGCAAAAGACAAGAGAGGTAAAAAGAATTAAGCAACCAGACAGGACCAGTTTTGTAAAAAAAGGAAGTAAGTAAGTGATCTTTTCTTTAGATAGAGCCTTTCACAGACTAGAGTCACACACACACACACACACACACACACACACAAAAAAGTTCCATTGGCATCTGGAATTAAAATATAAAGATGAAATCATTCTTTTTATCCTCTCTGCTTCCCTGCTTCCAGACAATGCAAGTCAATTTCATAAATGCAGTTTCTGACTCTTCTAAAGTGTTTTCTTCGAGAGAAAATGTGGATGTTGTTGGTACAGACCCCCGCTCTTGTCCTGGGAGGGTTCATTACTGTGCTTGTTTTACTTACTGTACCTCGTTACGTGTTTTAAATATAGACTTTTGAATATTACCCCTTTCTCCTTATCCTATTAATTTAGTGTTATAATAACTTTAGATTTTAGTTAAAAGAGCATGATATTATCTCCTGTTTTAGTACTCCTATTTAACTCTTGTCATTTAATAATTGCGTGTTTAGTTTCTGCGTCATAAAATCCTGATCTTTGCTTGATAAAATATACTTGGAGGTAAAAATGCAAGGACCACCTTAACCTCTGCTCTCCAAATTTATTTTGACTTAATTTACCTGCTTATTTCTTCCTCATATCACTATGAGGACTGAGTGTGCCTGCAAAGTTGAAAATATATACATAAGGTTCTGCTCCAGAAATCAGGAGAGAGTGGAGCATGAACATGAGACCACAGAGAGTCATTGAAGCCCTAATACCACCTATCAACCTGGAATGTCCACTAAGTCTTTGCTAAATAATCTCTGCCCCAGGCCTCAGCATGAACCTGGAGCAGGCCGCAGCAATAACACGAGGAGAGCCACAGTCTGTTCCCACAGAGCACCATGGGAACAGGACATCCCGCCATGTGAGGCCCACTCCCCAGATCTGCTTCATATCATGATCTTCTGCAAATCATGATATGAGTTTTGAACTCATGAATGTGCAAATTCATGATATGAGTTTTGAACTCATGAATGTGCAAATTTGGATAATAAAAGATTTTATTTTTAACCTTAACCATATTGAAACTACACTCACATTTAACATAACTGAACTATCAACAGATGTCAATACTTTGGTCATGTTTAAACATTTTTTTTTGCATATAGGGTTTGGAGAATCGTAGATGCATCTAACATTATTATACCTCAGTCACCTAAACAGGCCCATCAGACACTCTGCACTGCTGTGATTTGGTTGTAATAGTAAGAATGCATCGGTTTTATATAACGCTTTTTTGGACACTCAAAGACGCTTTACATGTCATTATTCATTCACTCCATACACGGTGGTGATAAACTACTACTGTAGCCACAGCTGCCCTGGGGCACACTAACAGAAGTGAGGCAACCCGTATGTGCCATCGGCCCCTTTGATCACCACCAACCATTCACACACACACCAGACTCATTCTAGGCAATGGGGGTGAAGTGTTTTGCCTAAGGACACAATGGCAGTTTGGCACTTTACAGCCGCCCCACTGTAGCACCTGGTGTTCCCAGAGGTTAAGTGTCTTGCCAAGGACACAACGACAGCAATCATCAGTGGGAGTCAGTGGAGAAGGTCTTGTGGTGGGCTACCCACGACCTTCAGGCTGAGCTACTGTCGCCCCTGTAAGTAAATAAAACTGAACTTTAAAGAGCACCATTCAGATACAAATCACAAGGTGCTTTATAGAGTACAATAAAACAGGATATAATATACATAAAATACAAATACAAAGTTTACAACCTGACCTGTCAGCCAAAACAACAAAAACATCTTCAGCTTAAACAAATTAACCGTGTTTGCCGTACAGAGGCCCAGGGGTACTACGGCCATCAAGCCCACTCAACTACCGTGCAGCCACAAATGATGGAGAGTTCCGGATTGGCTGATCATACTGCGGATAATCCAAATGTCTTGCTCAATCATGAATCAAGAGAGACGGCAGGCCCTCTGCTTGTACTGCTTACCAGCAAGGTTTTGGTCACTCAGTTACCCACA